CAGGCTCGTGTACCCTCCCGAGCTGCCAGTACCAGCCAGGAGGGGCACGGATCCAACAAACATGTGGTTGCATTCAGCCTACCCAGGACCCTGTCCACGTCCTCGGGAGCAACAGAGTCAAACTCCTCCCATGTAACCGTCTCAAGGCCTGCTTCCGTCTCCTCCCCCTGGGCCAACCAGTCGGTATCCAAGCCTTCTCAGATCCGCGCGACTTTGTCATGCAGATATTGAGCAAAGTCCTCGGCCCTCCCCTCCAGTAGCCTTACGCTGTTCCAACGAGCTGACAAGCTTATTGGGCGGGGCTCCTGCCTTTGCTGCGTCTCTGCAGGAGGCAGGAAGGGCAGGAGAGAGCCAGCCCAATAATGTGTGTCAGCTTGTTGGAGAAGAGCCTGAAGCCAGCTTGCCAGGTGAGAAGATTGGAGAGAGGGGGAGAGAGGGGGGGGAGAGAGAGAAAGAGAGAGAGAGAGAGAGGGAGAAAGAGGGAGAGAGAGAGAGAGAGAGAGAGAGGGAGGGAGGGAGAGAGAGAGAAAGAGAGAAGGAAAGAGAGAGGGAGAAAGAAAAAGAGGGAGAGGGAGAGAAAGGGAGGAAGGGAGAGAAAAAGGGAGAGGAAAGAGAAAGGGAGAGAGAGAGAGAGAGAGAGAGAGAGAAAAGAGAGAAAAAGAGAGAGGGAGGGAGGGAAAAAGAGAGGGAGGGAGAGGAAAGAGAGAAAGAGAGAGGAAAGAAAGAGAGAGAAAGAGGGAGAGGAAAGAGAGAGAGAGAGAGGGAGAACTCATGCATAGCAGCATCTATTTCTTTTTAATTAAACTTTTCAATCAAGCTCCCCCCCCCCTTGCGCGCAAGTTTTGCGGCTCCCAGTGTTTTCTTTTCTCTGGGAAACGGGTCCAGGTGGCTCTTTGAGGGTTTAAGGTTGCAGACCCCTGCTCTGGGCTCACAACCCCGATTCTGCTTTAAATCAATAGGTGAGGCTGGACATCTCATTCACCTATATTGGGATGCCTGAACCAGAGCCCAAAGAGGAAGGTGAGTGTGGAGGTGGGCCGGGACTCTTTTGCATCTCACTTTGATCCACTCCTTTTTTTAGTTGGGAGGATGAAAAAAAGGAACAGAGCAGGCCGGGAAGCCTTCTTCCTATAGAGCCAAAACTAGTGAGAATTGGATTGGAAAGATGGCTTAAGAGAGCTTTCCCCCAATCTGATGCCCTCCAGATGTAGTTGTCTTACCAATCCTGTCAGTCAACTGGGCACTGTAATCTAGGGGACAACAGTAGGGAAGATTGATACACTAACAGTGTTTCTCAACCTTGGCAATTTGAAGACGGGTAGACTTCAACTCCCAGAATTCAACTCTCCCAACGGGTTGGATCTGGAGACATGACATGGGCTTAGGCCAGGGGTAGGCAACCTTGGCTCTTTTATGACTCGTGGACTTCAACTCCCAGAATTCCTGAGCCAGCCACGCTGAGGGGAAAGGGAGAGGTTTCCAAGCTGAGCCGTGCTGGCTCAGGAATTCTGGGAGTTGAAGTCCACGAGTCATGAAAGAGCCGAGGTTGCCTACCCCTGCCTTAGGCCATTGGCCAGCCTAGATATGAATTCATTTTTCTGAAAGAGGTTTTCAGATGGAGATGGTCTTTCTCAGCTCCATCAGTTTGAGATCCTTTCACTTGGTAATGAACCGTGGACCTCGGGTGCGCAAGGTGGGTGTGCTGCCATTGTGGCCTTTCTTCCTTTCAGGGGCAAAGTTTTACAGGACACCGCAGGGCCCTAAAACTCACCAATAACCCTCCCTTCCAAGCTTGGCTTGCCTAAAACGAGCTAGCTTACTACATCAACCAATCGTGTAAAATAATAGGATTAAAAATAGAAAGAGTATTATCTGATCCCCCTTTTCTTCCAGGGCTGCCAAAGGATTTGGCATATTTCTCTTTTCTATATAGGAGCTACAGCTGAGAGCGCTGAAATGGGACTGTCTCCTTTACAAGAGGAATTGGAAGAAGCTGGGGCTCCTGCAGAAAGTAAGTTTTGGGGGGGGGGCTTCAGAAGCACAGTGCTTGGGGCTAGTACGGTGTGGCGTAAGAGTTTCGGAGGTGAGCTAAACCGGGTGTCAACGATCCTACTGGACTCCTGGGTCAAGAAGGACGCGAAGGCAACCAGACTCAGGAAGCAGCGGTTTTACTTTAAGGCAGGGCTTTTCAACCTTTTCACCCATTGTACCACTTTTAGGATATGGCAATATCCGAGTACCACCAGTCGCCTAGCAAAGTGTCAAAAACTGGATGACCAAAAAAAAAAAAAAGGAAAAAAGTGATGAAGTACAGGTAGTCCTCGACTTACAACAGTTCGCTTAGTGACTGTTCGAAGTTACAATGGCACTGAAAAAAGTGCCCCCCAAGCCACAGCCGAGCAAGACACCTGCCTGCCCACCCGGCGGTGCTCTTCCTCCTGTCCGAGGTTTTCATTGTTGTGAGCATTTCTGTTGAGGATTGGAAGTGGGGGTGGAGGGTGTTTGGTTTTTATTCCCCCCGTCTGCTGGGTGGTTGCAGCAGGTTTTGGTCACTTCACATGACCCTGGGACACTGTGACCGTCATAAATATGAATCAGTTGCCAAGCATCTGAATGTAAATCACAAGACCCTGGAGAGGCTGCAACATTCCAGCTGATTGGTGCTTCTTCTGGACTCAGCAGAAGCGTCAGGATCAGTGCCGAGGTCCAGCTGGAGCCCGGCGCTGATCTTAGCACTTCCACTGAGCCCTGACAGCCCTGAAGAAGCGCTGATCCTGGCGCTTCCGCTGAGCCCAGACAGCCCTGCAGCTCCAGCCATCTCTCCCTCAGGCTTGTGCGGTGCTGCCACCGGTTCAACTCATTCCCCTCTCCCGCTACCACTTTTCTAGGATGGTCGCGTACCACCTGCCAGGTGCCAATGTACCACAGGTGGTACCCGTACCACTGGTTGAAAAGCCCTGCCCTAGATTGCCCCCTTGCCATTAATAGCCACTCTCTTTTAGCCTCAGGAAGGAGATAATAGTTCTCTATCTTATAAATTATAAATGCTAACTAATACATGATCTTGGGCAGTGTGGGACCTGAAGCCTGAGTGGCTAATGGCAGTGCCCCTGCTTATTAGCAATAGGAATAGCCCTTAGACTTATATACCACTTCACAGTGCTTCACAGCCCTCTCTTAAGCGGTTTACAGAGCGGGCATGTTGCCCTCCACCAATCTGGGTCCTCATTTTACCCACCTCGGAAGGATGGAAAGCTGAGTCAACCTTGAGCCGGTGAGGATCGAACTGCCGGCAGTCGGCACCATTAGCCTGCAATGCTGCCTTCTAAACACTGCGCCCCCCCAGGGCTCTTTATTAGAATTGCAAATCACTCTGCTTCGCCCGTTTATAGGTCCCACATCTGCACTGCGGGACTTCATTGTCTCACAGCTCAACCAGGAGTTAGCCCAGCTGCGCCTTTCCGTCGACCAGCGTCTAAAAGCCACAGAGGAGCAGTTTAACGCCAAGCTGAACCAGGTGGAGAAAGGGTCTGCTGCCAGCAAGGGGGCTGCCAAGGGCAAGAAGAAGTAAGCAGATTAGAAAGGCTGGGGCACAAGAGGGCCGTTGCCTGTCCCAGGGTCATTTCTTTATTTCTTGGGCTTCTGCAGAAAGGGGTCACCACGAGACCAAGAGAGTTCACAGGGAATGACGGTTGAAATATGGGGGGGGGGGGCCAAATGGATTTCTAAAAGGCTTTTGAAAATGTGATAAGGGTTTACAGAAAATCTCTTCTTGAGATGGTAAGGTCATATAGTAAGTAGCAGGAACTGTTGCATAAAGCACGTGATGTTAGGATATTAAAGTGTGGTTAAAATATTGTCTACTGTTTTATTAATTTTTTTTCTAGGTCAAAAGTAGCAGCATTATTAAGGTCAAAGGCCAATCTGAGACTGAATACAGGTAGTCCTCGACTTATGTCCCCAGTTGAGCCCAAAATTGCTGTTGCTAAGCAAGGCAGTTGTTAAGTGAGTTTTGCCCCATTTTATGACCTTTTTTTGCCACGGTTATTAAGCAAATCTGGCTTTCCCCCCACTGGCTTTGCTTGTTGGAAGCCAGCTGAGGTTACAAATGGTGATCCCGTGATCCCAGGATTCTGCACCCGTCAGAAATACGTACATGCCATTTGGCAAGCGTCTGAATTCTGATCGTGTAACTACGAGCATGCTGCAGTGGTCGTTAAATGTGAAAAACAGTAAAGTCATTTTTTTCAGTGCCGCTGCAACTTTGGAACGGTCACTGAATGAACTGCCAAAGAACACCTTTAAGGATTTAATGAAACCAAATTAATCGAGTCATTCCAATATGATTAGTTCCCATATTTAATTAGAAAAAAACACACCCTAGAGCAGTGATGGCGAACCTTTTAGAGACCGAGTGCCCAAACTGCAACCCAAAGCCCACTTATCACCGGGTGCCAGGTGGGCGTGGCCCACTGGGTGGGTGTGGCTGTGGTGGTCATGGCAGATTGGGTGGGTGTGGCCAAGGTGGGCGTGGTCACCTTGATGTTGCTCGTGGAGAGGGACGCCTGTGGGGGCCAGGCAGGGTTGGGGGAGATCCAGGGGGTCTCTGGCAGGTGGGGCATTGGGCAGGAGGCACATCCTCCAGGGTGAGGCAAGGCGAGGCGGGGGTGCCATTGTCGCAGGACAAGGCGAGGCAGGGACTGGGCCGGCTGCTGACACCATCGGCCCCCGCATACAGAGGCCAGCCGCCAGCAGTTCAGAGAAGCCGCCTCTGAGCTGGACGGCCAGCCCACAGCTGAGGAGGCGATGCAGTGGGTCGTGCCCGGGAAAAGGAGAGCATGCGAGGCCAGGAGGGATGGGATGGGAGGAGGGAAAGTAGCCGTGCTGGGATGCATCCAGCCATGTAGGACCTCTGCGAGTTAGCGGGTGGCTGGTTGAAGAGGGACGATTGCCATCTCCGGGGCATGGCGCGCGTGCCCACAGAGAGGGCTCTGAGTGCCGCCTCTGGCACGCGTGCCATAGGTTCGCCACCACTGTCCTAGAGTCAGTTTGGTGTAATGGTGTAAAATGCTGGATTAGAAAGGATCAGGTGGTCTTGAATTCTACTCTCCTTTCAGCCATGAAAGCTGGCTGGGTGACTTTTGGGTGTCACACATTCTTAAGCCCAACCCCACAGTGTGGTTCTTGTGAAGAAAACAGGAAGTGGGAGCGTTATCTGTATGCTATCTTGCATTGCACAAGATAAGACGGGATATAAATACGTTCAGGTTTTCGAAAGTTTCTGGGGAGCCTGGTGCCTTATAGGCTGAGCACTCTTGGCCAACGTAACACAGCCTGGCTGGGCAAAGAGAAATATTTCTTTCACTATTTATTTATTTATTATTTAAATTTATATACCTCCCTATCTCCCTTACGGGACTCAGGGCGGTGAACAGGCAATAATAAAAATCACAATAAATATTGAATAAAAAGCCTGCTCTAAAATACCCCATATAAAACCCCTAACAAAGCCCAATCTAGATTCTGCCTGGAATCTGGCTGGGCCAACTAGACGCCAATGGACTTGGTGTGGTTGTTTTTGGCAAACTTCCCCTCATCCTATCCCAGTTCCACCCACTCCGTCATTGTGGCCTAAACATTTTCCCTGGGATATGCCAAATTCGAGATGCATCGTTCCCTCCCCTTTGGGCAGTGCTTGGGAATTTCTGGGGCCTGGGGCAGAACACGATGGGGGGTAAATGAGCGTGTCTGGCAGGACCCCCGTTTCAGCAGAAAATTATTATGAATTCCTGTTCCAAGTCTTGGCAATGAAAGGGAAGCCCAAGTCCGAAGACAGCTGAGGTGTCTCATTTCAACTTTTATTATAGTCTGGACAATCGTAAGGTGGGGGGAAGGCAGACAACAACAACAACAAACCGAGAAGCAGTTCAGCAGGAAGGCCACGTCCACTACCTGATTGCAGCAAAAAGGACAGATGCAAAACCTGATCCCACAACTGATCTCCAGTACTGACCAAATCCAGAGACACGGACTGTTCCTTCAGCCGAAGGGACTGCACTGACGGATGAGACCCCCTGAACGGTCCTTACAGCGCAAAGGGCTACGTCAGGGGCTCCGGGTCTTGCAGCAGAAGCATGTTGCTCTCCCCAGCCCCTCCCTTTGGACCAACACCATTGGTGTGATATTAGCCCTACCCGGGTCCAGAACAACCTTCCAGGTATAATCGGGGAATCTTGTCCCATCAGTCCAAAATTCAAGGTTCCCCCAAATTCCTGTTCCCTAGAAAGTCAGTCTCTTCCATGCACGAGGAACCCAAAGGAGGACTCTAACCATTGGCTGTCCACCCCTAATGGGGCAAGGATAAGGTTCAGTTCCGTGTACAGCCCCTGCCCCTCAGCATCCAGGGATCACCCCGTGCTGTTTCACGGGGACTGGAAGGCATCTCTCTAGTTGAGAGGGTCTTCCACCGCTGACGACGGGGCCTCCTCGCCTTCTGTGCCTAGCAAGACCAGCTGGATGGCCTTTGGCACGTTTTCAAAGAGGGCAGCCCGGTTCTGTTGCTCGCCCTTCTTGACCCAGTGCCCGTAGATTCGGAAGGCACAAGCGTCGATCAGCTTGCGCACTCCCTTGAGGGAATAGGGGTCGCACAGCAGCAGCTCCTTTGTGACCGGGCGCACCCGCCGATAGCTGGAGTAGATGCGGATGGAAGCCCGCACTGTCCACGCAATGACCTGCCGTGGTAAAAAAAGAAAGAAAGACGTCACACCAGGACACAAGGCGGAGAGCAGAAGGCAAGGAGGCTCGTAAGCAAGCATTATCTTAGAAGAGGCCTCTCCTCTCACAGGGTCACAAAAGAGGAAGTGGGACAGGCCATCGATCCACCGAGGGCAGCACTGACGGTGCCGACTAGCAGTACAAGTAGTCCTCAACTTAAAACAGTTCATTTAGTGACCGTCTGAAATGACAACATCACTGGAAAAAAGGGACTTGCGGTCGTTTTTTCACGCTTATGACCGTTGCAGCATCCCCACGGTCATGGGATCAAAATTTGGACGCTTGGCAACCAGTTCGTGTTTATGACGGTTGCAGCGTCCCGGGATCATGTGACGATCACCTTTTGCGATCTCTTGACAAGCAAAGTCAAGGGGGGAAGCCAGATTCACTTAACAACCCCGGGTCACTCGCTTAACAACTGCAGGGATTCACTGAACAAGAAACCTGGCAAGAAACGTTGTAAGAATGGGGCAAAATTCACTTAACAACTGTGTCACCTAGCAACAGAAATCTGGGGCTCAATTGTGGTCGTACGCTGAGGACTACTTGTAGTGCTTCAGGGTATTCGTAGAGCAGGGGTGTCAAACTCAATTTCATTGAGGGCCGCATCAGCATTGCGGTTGCCCTCGGGGGGCGGGGGGGCAGGGTGGGTGTGGCCTACTGGGTGGGTGCGGCCAGCTCTACATCGTTCACGTCAAGGGTGCCTGTGTGGGCCTGGGCAGGAGTGGGACAGATCTGAGGGTCTCTGGCAGAAAAGGGTGGGATCGGGACAAGCGCCAAGGCATGGTCCATTTCTTCATTCCTCACAAAGGGTGACACTTCCCCAGCATGCACCCAGGGGGCGGGGCCGACACGGCAGGGGCTGGTTCCTTGCTGTTTCCAGATGGCCTTGTGGAGCTAAGACTGAATGTGTTTCAGTATAGATGGCCACCACAAAATTGTACATTGGCTCCCGGCCGGCCTGGGCCAGGGCCAAGGCAGCGGGGGCCGTTCCCTCACTGTTTCCAGGATGGCCTCGCGGGCCACATGAAACCACTTCGCGGGCCGCATCCGGCCCCTGGGCCTTGTGTTTGACATGTCTGTCGTAGAGGCGTCACTCTTCTGCAGTGATTCTCAGCAAGTTGAAAATGTGTGGACTTCAAGTCCCACAATTCCCCACCCAGCATACATAGATCTTCAACCCTGCTAAGGTTGAGAAACGCTGCTTTAGAGAGACATGAAGCATCGGGCCTGGAACTTTTTGCATCCAAAGCATGTACTTTTAACATTAAAAACAAACAAACACCAAAATAAGGTCTAGAATAAAATTGTAACTAAAACCTATACACCAGTGTTTCTCAACCTTCACAACTTTAAGATTTGTGGATTTCAACTCCCACCATACTCCAGCCACCCAACTCTGAGGAGGGGGGGGAAACCCTCATGAAGTGAACCATTTTGAAACTGTCTCCTACGCCCAGAAATGTTAGAAGCAGGCATCCTTTCGACCCAAAACCGTTTTATTTTGAGCCTCAGAACATCTGTTTTGCAGTTAAGACATTATATATACACTGACAATATGCCCTTTGGGGAATGAAGAATGGAGTAAAAATGACTTAGATGAATAAATATTTTTTTATTTATTTGTAATTAAATAAGAATATGCCACTTACCCTGAATTTATGGAAGGGGCTGAAATGCCGCTGCTCCTTTCCGTAGCGCTGGAAAAAGGGGTGCTGCAGTGCCTGCTCAGCACTCAACCTTTCGACAGGATCTACCTTCAACAGTCGGGAGATCTGCCAAAAAAAAAAAAGGGGGGGGTTCCCCAAGAAGCGTTCTGAGAACACAGGCATGCTGATGGATTCTGACATGGAAAGGGAGGAATTGAGACGCAATGTGACGATTTAAACGTATATTTATATGATTTTTCCCCCCCTCCCTGTTCTGTATGTCAGGCTAGGCAGGCCAGCATGAGCTACAAAAAAAAAAAAAACCACAGATAGTCCTTGACTTACGACAAAAATGAAGCTAGCCCATTACGATCATGAGTCATGACGGTCATAAAGTGGGTCACCACATAACTGGACCCATTTTTATGACATTTTTGCAGCAGTCCTAAAGTGACCGCTATGGTCGTAAAGCAAAACCCAGTTCACTATGGCTGTTTTTTGCCAAAAACTGGAAGTAAAAACTTCCAACACTGGAAGTTTTTAAGAAGAGGACGGGGGGGGGGGGGGGCATGATAGCAGTGTTCCAATATCTCAGGGGCTGCCACAAAGAAGAGGGAGTCAAGCTATTCTCCAAAGCGCCTGAGGGCAGGACAAGGAGAGAAGCAACCTGGAACTAAGGAGAAACTTCCTGACACTTAGAACAATTAACCAATTCAACAATCTGTTGAATGCTCCAACACTGGAAGTTTTTAAGAAGAGACTGGACAGCCATCTGTCCGAAATGGTGTAGGGTTTCCTGCCTGAGCAGGGGGTTGGACTCGATGACCTCCAAGGTCCCTTCCAACTTTTTTATTATTATTATTATTATTATTATTATTATTATTATTATTATTATTATTATTATTATTATTATTAAATACTGGTTTTCAGCAAAAATGTCGAAACGCGCAATCATGTGACCATGGGACAATGCAAGTGGCCGTAAATGTGGCTGGTTGCCAAGTGCCCGAACGCAGTCACATGACCACAGGGGTGGGGGTGGCTAGGCTCTAAATATCTTTGGGGGTCCGTCATAACTTCAAATGGTCACTAAGTGACCAATCACAAGCCGAGGATTACTCTGTAGAGTTTGGGATGGCAAGGTCCCCTCCAGTTTAACTAGCTCCGGCCGGGAAGAGCTGCAGCCTTTTCATTTCTCTCCCTTACCACACGTGAGCAGGAAGCTGCTGCCTTCTTACCAAATCCTTGACTGTGTCGGATCGGTCGTCCCACTCCGGAGAACCAAACTGATACTGGCCTTCCATGATCATCCGAAGCATCAACATCTGTTTGCGGTGCCAGAAAGGGGGAGAGCCAGCCAGGAGGGTGAAAAAGATGACGCCACAGGCCCAGCTGCAGGGAGGGAGGGAGGTCAATAGTAGAGAATATTTGTAGCACAGGGTGGAACCGTGGAGTCCTTGGCGCTCTCTGAGCT